GGGCTCGGTGGAGTGGGGGTGCCGGTCCGTCAACCGCAGGACACCCATGGAACCACTGGTGTGTTGTGGTTGAGGGACCGGCTCCTCGAGTCTTGTTTGGACGGAAACTCACACCGACTATGAAATGATGGACGATGGTTTCTCAACACTAAAGACGGCAGTAGGCTGGTTGAACGTATGCCCCTCAGCGTGGAGCCGGTCTTGAACCGGTGGTGCTGGCGCCACCTTTCCAAGGGGCGTGGGGGAAAGGTCACCTGTCGGGATATTGCCCATGCCGAAGTTTGAATCCCCGGCGTTTACGCGTGCCCCCGAGTCCCCGACTATCGGGCAGCCCCCGTTTTCTGGGCCGCATAGCGGCGGCAGAAGACCTCACCGTTTCCACGGAGGTGTAGGTGGAGGGCTGGTCGGCTCTTGCCTTACATTTTTGTTGTCGATTTGGGTTACTCTTCTGAAAATAGAGTTGAAGAAAAGTTATTTGAGATCGCAAATAACTAATAGGCCTATCAAGCACAACAAGCCTGGCTACTCGTACCTCATGGGGTCGCTTGTTCGTCCATGCATGCGATATAGTGCTGTAGCTTGCGTCTGGTGCGGCCCGCGCGGGGACAGCAAGTGAAAGTCGCGGCCGCTGGGTTGGGGGCGGGGGGGCGATGGCCCAAGCGATAGGAAACAGTAGGAGCAAGAGAGAATGCTATTGGGAGTAGAAGGGCTGTTCGCAGTTCTGATGTTTTCAGATTCAACGGAGCAATGGTCAGACACTAATAGGCACGCAAAAAAACGAACGACCGAGAAAAAAAATATTTCTGTTCATTTTTTACTGACACTTTGCAAACACTCACACCTTGACGTGAAGCTATTATAGCTCTCCGTGTGTTTCCAATCCCGCGGCCCTGCTTGTTTCTTACGCCCCGCACTCTTCCTCCTCTGTCGTTCCTGCCCACTCGAACCACGACGCCAAAACTCTCGGAACTATTCACCGCCACCGCTAAAACGACATCGACGATGACGACGACGGACTACAAAAAAAAAATGTATAAATAAATAAAAAAACAGCCTACCCGCGAGAGCGACATGAAGTTTTCGTACATTGCGGGTGTGGTCGGCGCCGACGACCGCAGCCGGTTCGAGCGGCAGCTGTTCCGCACCACGCGGGGCAACTGCTACGTCCGCTTCGCCGAGATCGAGCAGCCCATCTCCGACCCCACCACGGGGGAGCAGGTGATGAAGCTCGTCTTCATCATCTTCTACAAGGTGCGTTCTTTCTTGTGCGTCGTCTTGTTGCCAAGCTCTCGGGGAAGAGGTAGAAAATGTAGAGGTGTAATACTTCCGGAGCAAGCAGTGGTTTGTTTGTACCAAGTTCCTGGGTTTTGGTCGAGAAGGGGCACTCAGTTTTCGTGTCGGGTGTTACCGCTCTCTTGTCTCTTGTTTCTATGCGTACGGCTTCTAGCTCTTGCTATGGGTACCGCTGTCGGTGTAGTAGATTTGGGAGGCAGGGAGTCGTGTCGTCTTTTTTTTTGTGTGTTTCGCTGAGTTCGCCTGCAATGGCTCAAGTGTTTCTCTTCGAACCAATGGTTAATCGCCTTATGACGGTTCACCACCATCCTGGTGCTGCTTGCTGCTGGGTCGATGTTTTTACTACCGTTGCTGTGACGAACAACGTGTCCCTAGCGCCATAACCTATGGATCCCCCCCATGTCCCAATCTTGGGTCGCTATGCTCACGGCTGGATTTGATGCGAGGCGTTTTTCCCGTGCTTGAGGCGGCAGCGATCGAGCCCGAGACCAACAAGATCTGCGTAGATTAGTTTTTTTTTTTTTTTCCTTTGATTTTGTTGTGAAGATCCCCTTCACGAAAGGTAAAATCTCCCCCCACGCCTGTCTGCAGTGGACGATTGAGTTCCATCTTGTTCACAATGGTTTTGTTGTGTTTTTGTGCCCGTGTTTCACGAACTCCCCCTCTTCTTCACGTTTTTTTTTTTTTTTTTGTTCACTCGTGTTTCAGGCGGCAGCGATCGAGTCAAAGATCAAGAAGATCTGCGAGGCGTTCCGCGCTAAGCGTTACGATCTGCCAGAGATGGACGACGGGGAGGGCGTGAAGAAACTCATGTACGACAACTACGGAGAGATGCACGACGCCCGCGTTGTCCTCCTTAAGGTGAGTCAGTCACTCCGACAACCGTCAAGTCAAACCGCCGTGACTCGAACGCCAGTCGTCGGAGAGTCGTGACTGGTAAAAGTAGTTGCCAATGTGATCAACGGCAGCAGTCTTATGTATCCATCGATGTGAACATCAACGACGCGATCGATGATGGCGTCGAGCGTTGCAAATGTGACATGTTCATGCGGGTGGAGTGCTAGTTCGATCAAAGACGAGGTGCTGAAATCGTAGTATTTGAGCCGAACACGGGGAAACTGGTATGAACACGCAGCTGGGACAGGGATTTTCACTCGCTTGTATTTTTTTCTTTTTTCTCCCATCATTGAACTCTGTTGTCTGCCCCTCTGGCCCCCATCCTCCACTTCTACTAGCAAGACGACCAAACCGGGGTCACATAGGAGGGGGGGGGTTGGACCCCTCCTGCGGTTCCTGCCTGAGATCGCTCGTACGTATCTGCCTGGGTTTTTTCTGTCAGCGTAGGGAGGGGCGCTGCTGTGCATGTGTTACTGCTGCTGGCGAGACGAAACCGCAAGACCATTGCACACAATATGTAGCGTCACTCACGGGTTATTACCGTCCGTCCCCCCCCCCCGAAGAGGAGAGGGAAATGTACATGACTGAGCTGGGAAAAATACAAAGGGCGTACAGGGAGATGTTTGAGGCATGGAATAGAGAGGAGAGGACGGTAGCTGTACTGGGGAGTAGGAAGTGGTTTGAAAAGGCGGGAGGGGATATCGTAAGGACAGACAGACTAGGGAAGACATTTTTGAGCCACCTTTGGCAAAGTAGGAAGGAACGATTGGCCATCGGTGATCGATCCTGTGGGAACAATGCTCCGTCCCCTCGAGGACGCGTGGTCAATGGTCTAACCGCTAAGGCATGCAAAACATATGAGTACGCCCCCCCCCCCCCCCCCCCCCCCCCC